TGTGCGTGTGTGCGTGTGTGTGGATTCAGACTGGATGAACACTGGTATCAGATCCAGTTTGTAAGGCATTATGTTGAGTTCACAATCAGCCGAGGAAGAAGCGAGGCACGCCCAGCTCCTGTCTGGTCTTTGCCACTGACAGACAGGATGTGGAGGTCAAAGGTCAAAGCCTCAGCGACCTGATGATGCACGGGCAGTGGTCTTGAATGACGAGAGGAATATTTTGAGTTATGTATTTGGTATTTTACTACTACTTTCAGTTTGACAAGAACCATAACGGAAAAATAATTTTTTACTGAAATATTATGAAATGTTTTTATGTTTCAGGAGAATGATGTTTTATACGTCGATTTATTGATTCTGTTCTAACCTTTTCTGTGATTGGTTGGTACGGTAACCTGAACATTAAGGATCAACCACATTGCAAAGGTTGCTGGGACAGACAGACTGAGGATATCCACAAGACCAGGTCCATACTGGACTGTACAAACCACCAGCAGGTTGAACGTCTTCCCTCAGGCTGTAGAACAGGACTAAAAACTCATTTGCTCCTTGTGCAATAAATCATTTTTAACATGTTATCTGTTTTCTTTTTAGCATTGTGCACATGAGTTTGTTTGCATTGTTGTTGTATTATTGTTTACTGTATATTGTAGGAACAGGAATCATTTTTGTGTTTTATTTGGTTTTTTTTTCTTTTATGTTTGTGCCCCTGACTGCAAATGTGTATATACTGTATGTACGACGAATTTTCTTTTATTATATTTTTATTTATATTAGAATTTTTTAGATAATTTTACAATTTTACAAAATTACATTGATGTTTTAAAAATAACTTCATATTGAGTAAACTTTTTAAATATTTTTTTATTTTATTTTCAATTCAACATAAAACAGCATCAATGTCATGTTCAGTTTTATATGATACATATAATATTTTGCCTTTATCAATCACTATATCTGTATCTGCGGACTGATCAGTGTCAGCTGATCGGGTTGATTAGACAAAGAGGAGGAATCAAGATGTTTGTTTTCTTGTTGTTAGTTGGACAAGGTCACCGGCTAATCTGATCTGACTGAGCGCACACGGAGGAGCCGCCATCGCCGCCTCGCTGCCACCTGCTGCTTTAATCCGGTGACGGACACAAAAACCTCCATCAACACCACGACGGGGACTTCCCCACCGCCGTAACACACACCTGCTCACACTCGCAGCCAGTTATTACCAAGCAGAGACTGTTTATAGCTCTCACAGGAAGTTAAAGTCCTCCATTCAACATCCCACTGAAGTAAAAGCACACAAGTATTATCAGCTGAATGTAGTAGAAGTACTGGCTCTGCAGTAAAACGCCTCCTGTGACTGATATCTGACTCTAGGAGACATTATTATAATGTATAAGAGTGGTTCCTCCAAAGGGTCTCCAGATAAATCTGAGGGGTTGTGAGATTATTAAGAAGAATAAAATATTCAATAATCAAATATTATACCTCTTCTAATAATAAAAAGTCAGAATTTTGACAATTATAGGTTTATTATTTAAGTGTGTATGCCTCCTTAAGAATGGAGCCTGCATTACACCTGAAGAACTTAAAGAACAACTTTAATTTTAAAAATAAAAACAATGACAGTCCAGCTTACTAAAGGTAGTTTGTGGTATTACAACAACACATCTTAATAAAAGAAGTTACCGTAGTTCACATAACTTCAACTCAGTTGTTCTGAGTGAACTTGTGTGTTCACGTGTGTGCAGTATTATGACTTTATATCATTAAAACAGTGTAAGCATTATAATGCTGTATAGCTTATATAATATAGTTTTTACTTCAGTTTAGTAATCATTAGCCCAATTATACATCCAAATAATTCTTAATGATCCCCCAAAGATTTGATGTTAGATAAAATGAATTGGCTACCATTTTAATAATCAATTGTTATAAATTGTTTTTATTGTACGTCAGCTGTTAATATTATATTTATTATATATTTATTATATAATATATATATATATATATATATACAGGTAATAGTATAAATAATAAAAATAAATAAATCATAATAATCATCATTTTCTTAAGAGGAAGAAAACTGTATTAAGAAGATTAATTTAAGTTGTTCGGACTTTATTCACATGTGAGTCTAACTTCAGTAACTGAATCTATTAGCTGAACAACAAATACTCGACCTACTGAAATAGTGAGTGAATAAAGTGTGTGAACGGACTGAATCCGGCTCCAATATGAGACATTAACAGAACCAGGAAGTGGAGCTGTTACCCAGCGGGTTGTAGTCCAGGTTCAGCACTCGGAGCTGTGAGCTGTGAGCCACAGCGATGGCAAGTCGAGCCCAGCCTTTGGAGCTGATTCCTGGGTTAGCGCTCAGAGTGAGCTCCCTCAGACCTGCAGACAACAACGCCACAGTCAGCATGGTTTGTACAGACGTCCTGCTCCAGGTGATCATTGATCATTGATCAGTTAAATGCTATGATTGGTTGTTGTTTTGTGTGTGAATAGAGGTCTGATCGATTCTATTGGAGCTTGTTGATACAATGTCTGACCACATAGTGAAATATTGATAAACTGCTGATATTATTGATCTGAATGTGAAGAGTTAAATCCTGAATAAATTCAGGTTGTTTGGAGATTCTGAGTTTTTTTCT